TATACATCATATGGTCAGTAACTCCTGAATCAAAATCCAACCTATATCGCGTGTATCATAGGCTTGGAAAGCCTTGCCAAAATTACCTAGAGGCGGACATGTTGGAGTGCTTGAGACAGTGGTCAAGGTCGGAGGAGGAGTAGTAGTAAGGTGGCCGTGCCCAGTGGTGATGTCAGCCACAGAAGTGGGGGCAATAGCCACATGAGCTTTGTCGTCCAGTTGTTCCTTTTTTAAATACCTCCACTCCTTCTCCCAATCTGGTACCCCATGTAATGCCCAGTAGGTGTCGATAGTATGTCACTTTTCACCACAGTGATCACACTTCAGTTTGTCTTTTTTACCGAAATCAGGCGACGAGGAAGGAACAGCAGAATAGCCAGACCCTGTAGGCCGAGAAACAAGAGTAGTGTTTTTGGAAGCAAACACAACAACAAGTTCCCCAATCTTGGTATCGGATCCAAGTATAGTAATCTGGCGTTGAGCTTCTCGACGGACCATAAAAAATACATTTTCGATACTTGGAACTTTATCACTCCGTAGAATATCATGACGGACCTTGCCATAAGTATCGTCAAGGCCAACCAAAAAATCATACACACGATCTGTCATAACAACAGCCTGAAAAGTCTTCATATCCACTTCATCTGAAAAGGATGTCTCTTGTCCAATTCAAGCCAGATTGCCTTAAGTTCGGCAAAATAGGTAGAGACAGGACGACCCTCTTGCTTGACACTGGTAGCCTGGCATCGCAGTTCATAGAGCTGGGATATGTCAGAGCCATCATAAAACATCTGATTAACAACATCCCAAATTTCCTTAGCAATAGGTAGAGTATGAAACATATTCAACAAATTGGGTTCCATAGTTCGCATCATCCAACTTTTCACAATAGAATCAGCAATTTTACACATCCCAAATTTTGGGTCTTGGGAATCAGGGGCATTAGTATCGCCAGTCAGGTAACCCAATTTGCCTTGTGTAGTAGCATGGAGTTCGATCATCGAAGCCCATATCTCATAGTTGGATCCATTCAATTTGAATCCCCTAGGTAGATTGGTGTGCGATTTGGTATGAACCGTCACAATAGAAGTAGAAGAAGATTCAATGACATCCGACATGGTGATAGATGGTAGTGGCAGCAGAAGATTAGGTGGCAACGACAACAGTAAGAGATATGAGACGGCGCAAGCTTAGGTGTATAGGCAGCACAGGTTTAGGTGAATAGGCTACGTGCAGCGGAAATAGGTATTTTTTAGGATTAGGGTTTTGATGTTGTAGAGACGGATTGAAACCCGCTCTGATACCAACTCAAAATAATTAGGGTTTAAACTGATCTAATTATTCTTCTCTCAAGGAGAAATATATATATACTACATACAGAGTGGGTACAAATATGAAATATGTACAAAATCTCCTAATTCTACTAAAATTAGATAATTGCAATAAAACATAAATTATATTCCTAATAGGAATGTTGACTTTGACTCATGCCAACACTTAATTGCTAGTTGTTGGCACACAGAAGTCTTGGGGAATCTTACTTTGACTCACATTCCTTTCCTTTCTTTTCCCTCTTTAACCATCTTTTTACCTATCATGTTACTCCTCACCAAAAAGACTAAAAAACTTAAGTCTATAAATCATTTTTATAGATTTCTTTAGTCCGTTTATGAAGAAGCACAATGCTGGTATAAACTAAGTTGGGTTCATAATTTCGACTAGTAAACTATACTATGCTAGACTAACAATTAACTATATCGCTTGTAATTTAAAGTATCACTTGTATCAAAACAAAATACTGGAGTCATCAATTTAACTAACTATTGATCTAGTTGTACTTCTATTTCTAAGTATCCCAAGAGATAGCTAATTGGACTGCCTCCTGTTGAGGCCCAAAAACGTCACGAGAAGCCCAAATACATTTAAAGCCCAATATAACATATAACGCTAGTCATGTGTTATTCCAAGCTGTATTTTGGGAATTAATTCATTAAATGAATAATAGTGTCCATGCCATGCGAAGCTAATAATACATTTTTCATATGTCAATCACCTATCAAGCTCACATAAACCCAAGTCATATGGTTTACGGGGCTTGCATGAGGGATTGTGGTGTGGAAGGTTACGGAGGTCCACAAGGCCCACGGAAGCTCTTGGATAATGGAGACTTTGGGCTAGCTACTTGGGAGCACCAAAGTCCAAGCCCATTACTTAGAGTTCTCCAATGTGGGTAAGCAAATGAGATATTTTCCAAGCATTTCCTTTTATCCATAGGAAATAGTCATTTTCCAAATACCTAACTTTACCCATTGGAAACAAGCCTTTTCCAGCACTCCTTATTACGCGCTGGAAACAAGCCAATTTCAACACTCCCTTTTACCCATAGGAAATAGTCATTTTCCAATGCCTAGTTTTACCTACTAGAAATAAGAATGTCCTAATGCTCCCTTTTACCCATTAGAAATAGACTAGCTCCAATACTTCCTTTGACCTATTGGGAACCAAAGAGAGCCTTCCCCTTCTATAAATTGGGAGGCATTGCCCAAGAAAAATCAACATCTCTTGGTTGCTGCAAGTCTCCCAGCAACCATGAGAACTCACATTTCTTCAGCTCCTGCAAGCGTTCCAGCAGCCATCAACCCCCTTCTTCAGCCATCGACCCTTCCTTTAGTTGCTCGAGCAACACAACAACTTTTTGCTTTGGCTGCTGCAAGCATCCCAGCAGCCATCAACCCTCTTCTTCAGTTATCGGCCCTTCCTTTAGCTGCTGGAGAAGCACAACAACTTCTTGCTTTGGCTGCTACAAGCATCCCAGCAGCCATCAACCCCCTTCTTCAATCATCACACCTACTTCCTAGCTGTTGCAAGCACCCTAGCCATAACCTCCTCCTCTTGAAATCCATCATCTTCTCTATAAAGCTAGCAACAAGTCATCTTCAACTCTTCGTTAAGCTGTCGGAAACGTCAGCATAAAACACGCAGCCGCTGGAAGAAGAACAGAGTACTCCCTTGGGACATGCTTCTCCTTCGGGATGCTTTGGGCCTAATCCTCGCTAACTCAGAAAAAAGGGCAACGAAGGCTTGATCCACCACTCTATGGCGGTCCGAGAATCAACAAGCCCGAACGAGCCTTCCGACGGAAAAAGACCCCAATATTCAACACAGTTTGCAACTTCCAAGATACGAAACCATTCAAATTCCCAAACCAAAACTCCAAGTTACCGCACTTCCAAACTGTAGAGATGGATCGCAAAGATAATCAATCTCCTCAAGGTTTCAAAACTTGTTTGTGCCTAATAAATCACGGCCATGAGCTGGCCGAAGGAGCCCCCTTTCTCGGCCCTAGCACTTGCTCGTAAAATTGAAACGCAGCGTTTCAACAAGGTGCTTTGCCTTCCTGAAGACAAAAGAAAAATGCTAAGGCATGATCATCTCGGCCTCGAGTGTAGGCCGAGGTCGAGGCCGAGCAAAATCGCGGCCATAAATATTAAAGTCAGATCATCACGTGATAGCAGGGACCCATGCTTCATTTAATGAAGTAGTGCCTGTTTAATGCAGCAAACCCACTGGCCACAAATAAGCATTTAATGCATGAGGGAAGGTGGGAAGTGACTGAAGTCAGGGTTTGGCGACAGAAGACAGAGTGATTAGACGTAGACATTCTCACAAGAATTCTTGCAGCTTGAGAGATTAGGTCACCAGCTATCAGAGCAATAAATGCGTCTCCACGACCAATTGCGCAGAAACCACGATTAGGGCGGCGGCCGATATTCACCAGGATTTATGGGGTCACACCACCATGCTTCACGATCCCAAATGTTGTCGATTGGTTCAAACACCAAACCAAAGCCTCCCACGGAGCAACTTATATTTTCCTGTAATGCACTTTCAATATTTTACTTGCTTTCCTAGGAATAGTGATAGTTTGTAAGGAGAATTCATTCATCAATATATCATACGACCCTTGATTTTCAAGGCGCCGGAGCACCATCCCTGTTATTCGCTCACTCACCCCAGATATCATACGACCGTCGCTCCCTGAGCAGCGCGCCGGAGCATCGCCCAAAACCCACCAAACAGCACCACCCAACAGCCTTGTAGTTCAGGCCGTGAACCTAACAACCGAGACTAGTTCCTCTCTCGGCTACAATCGTTTGATTAGAAGACGAGTTCAAATAGGCGCACCACTCAACCATTCTATCCCCATCAACCAACTCGACGCACGGTAGACCGTGCTGGCACTCTTGCGCACAATCGCACCGCACCCAAAAGCAGGAAAACGCGTGTCAACGCTCATCCCCTCGGCCCGGAACTCCAGGCCGTGAGATTTGCACGGCAGACAAAACCTCTTTACTTCTGGTATGTTTTCGTCTTCATTTGCTAGTTGGTTATGACATATATCGCTCTCTTGGGGAATCTTACTTCGGAAATAGCTGGTGCTTATTTGCTTATTTGCTAGTTGGTGCCACACAGAACTCTTGGGGAATCTTACTTCGACTCACATTCCTTTCCCCCTTTAACCAGATTTTTACCTCTCATTTTACTCCTCAACATAAAGACTCAAAAATTTAAGCCTATAAATTACAATTATCCTTTTATAGATTTCTTTAGTCTGTTTTCTGAAGGAGCACAATACTAATATAAACTTAAGTTGGGTTTATAATTCTGACTAGTCTACTATACTATGCTAGACTAACAATTAACTATCGCTTGTAATTTAGAGTATAGCTTGTATTAAAAGAAAATACTGGAGTCAATTTAACTAACTATTGATCTAGTTGTACTTCTATTTCTCTTCCAAGTATCCCAAGAGATAGCCAATTGGACTGCCTCCCTCCACCCATTAATATTTGTTTTAAATAAATAAATAAAAAAGAGGGGGCGGGTCTCCATGGGCTCTCTGTCAGGCCCGCCAAATAGCGGGCTACAGGCCTTCCAAACTGTACAGATGGACCGCAAAGATAATCAATCTCCCCAAGGTTTCAATCAATGACCTCTTTACTTCTGCTATGTTTTCGTCTTCATTTTTTGGCTATTAGATGAGTATAATTAAAATTGAAAATGGTGCAGGTGAGACAGCTCGGATTCTGGTTGAATTCCTGGAGGTGGCAATCACTTCAATCGTTCTCCTCAAAGGAATTTACCCTCCAGGTTTGTTCTAAACCCACTTCTCGTTTTGGTTGCTGAGAAAAAAAGTTGTGGTTTTGAGTTGTGGTTTTCTTCATTATCTGGGGAACCCAGAAAGCAAAACCCAGTTTTCAAATTGCATATGAGCTTAGCGGAATAATGGGTAATTGTTGTTTTTGCATTTTCAACTGCTTTCACTGATGGTTGTTATTGGGCAAAGGTACTTTTGAAAGAAGGAAATATATGAATTTGGTGGTTCATAGCGCTCGTCACCCTGAACTCAGAGATTATATCCATTCTGCTGTCTCGGGACTTCATCCTTTCATCCAAAAGGTTGATCCTTTACTCGTTCATTTCCTTTTACTTTTTTCTTTCTTGTTTCTTCAAAAATTTCTCATATATCTCATGTGTTCGAAAATTCCGCCTAGGCGCTAGGCGGGTCTGGGCGGCTGGGCGGGGCGGGTCGGATCTTTTTTTTTTTTCTTTTTTCTTTTTGATTTTTGAAAGAAAGATGCAGTCTTTCTTATTCGTTTAATGTATTTATTCCGGTGATGTACCATTTTCACTAAAACAGACGTACATTTTACAAACTAGGGTCTGGTGGAGAGAGTAGCAGTTATTTTCTTTAACAGTGATAGCATTAGCATCCCTGTGGAAAGATTTATGTTTAAGCTCACTGTGAATCAGTCTTATGGCTCAGGGTGGAAGAAGCTGACCTGGAGTTCTCACTAAGGTCGTTTTTTATCAAGCTTCCTTTCTCAGAATCCCTTACACGGGTTCTTCCCCAGGGTAAGTTTTAAGTTTCATAGTTGACAACTGTACATTGATGTTCATTTTTTAGCTTCAGAGTTATAGTTTTGTCTTAGAATACTATTTGATATTATTTTTCAATTCTGTAGTTCCGTTTGGTTTTCGCTTTAAAATTGCTACTTTCTATCAAATGCTTTGGTTTAATTGGTTGAGTATTGACCATATGCTTGGGTGGTTGTTGAGCTCATGAACATGGTTTGGATTTTCATGTCTGCTTTCCTATAGATATTGCTGCTAGGTGTGTAAGCTTTTCCTTTGTAACAGATTGCAGGTGGGAGATAACTGCGTACTTTCGATCCCTGCCTCAAGCAAGTACAAGTAAGGATGCAGAGTTGTGGATTCCAACAGACACACAGCAATGGCAACAGCCTCCATTGATAACCCCTATTAAATCGATGTGTAGCGAACCTCTATCTGTGCAGTTATATTTGGAACATCCAGGTTTATCTGAACCAAAGGCTTAAAGGGAATAAAGCAAATGAATATCTTCCTTGATTTTACATGACAAATCATGATCACACTGTCCCATAAACATACTGCTCATGAAGTAAATTCCGCTCGCTTTCTGCATTTTGGTGTATAAACCACAATAATTCAGTGCTTAGTATTGTAAAGTTGTTATCCAATTAGAATGAGATTACAAAGGTAGAAATTTTGTGGAAGATGAAGGGTAAAGAATAAGCTGGAGGTGATTAACATATGACATTACAATTTACAGTATATTATGAGATAACAAAATTACTTTTTTGATAGCTAAATCTCTTTACCTTTTAGTTGGAAGGATTGTTGTTTGTACTCTCCCAGGTCCAGGGAAACATCAATTCAAAAGGGTTTCTACCACATTTTAGCTACTCAGCATTAGTTTATCAGCGTTTTAACAATTATCAGCATTTTAAATTATTCTAATAACTTAATTAAACAACAAATAGAATAATGAAATTAAATATGGCAGTAAATTAAAAACTGACTGTTCTTGCAAATAGAGGCTTGTAGAATTGCAATGTCCTTGAAACAGAATTTCTTCCCTACTTAGTGCTTGTAGTTCTGTAGGCGTTTGCTCCACCAGGATACAACTATCTAAATCAAAGTCCTAGTAGTAGGGCTTTGATTTCTAGCGAAATTTATGTGTTTATATCTGAGGCTATGTACATGAATGATGATATGAATGGTCTCTGTGAATTCGATGTAATTGTACAAACCCAGGGCTTGTGTTGGCTGATACCTATTCCAACAGGTATCAGATAAGGACAAACCCAATTAGACAAAAATATTATATGACATTTGAATTTTAAAAATAATCCAAATTAATTAATTAACTAATCGAGTTTAATTTAAATCACAGATCCAAAGAGCCCCAAGGCCCAATGCCAATCTTTTGATTAATTAAATATATATATTAATTAACCATTGACCCAAGGCCCATCTTTAAGACTGGTACAAAAAAACATATGTATTATTAAAAAATACATTCGTACGTGTATAATACAAGTATTAAACGTCAAAAATGCAAAATTCTTTATATGGGTAATAACTCTGGGAAAGTAAAAAAATCAAAAGGAGACAATAGAGACTCGGGTAATGGCCTAATAGTAATGGATAATGATCTAAAATACTCTTATCGATCAAAGAAAATTGGGAATAAAAATTTAAAAAATAAAAAAAGGATTGTAGTATATATGTAAAGCGTATAGCCGCGCGGCTATACTATTTATTAAAAAATAATGGCTTAAATGTTAAAATGGTCCCCATGTTTTACTCATTTGGCCAATTTAGTCCTCGTGTTTTTAATTTGGCTAATTTAGCCCAATACCACTACACGGCTATACTATTTTGAAAAAAAAAAACCATAGCATAGCTGTGCGGCTATACTATTTATAAAAAAAAAAAAAAAAAATGCTGCTATTTCCACCCCCTTGTCCTATTTCCCCACCCATCTTATCTTCAAAATTTTAAAGACAATTTACCCATTTGTAAAATGACTTCTAAGGACTTATAAGGAAAAAATCTCAACTAACATATCCCATCTATTCTAGGGTTTGACAAAAAGAAGGAAAAAAATTAAAGAAGAAAGCGTACATTTTTTCCCCCTCTGCAAAACCAACCAACAAAAAATTTTCACGTCTCAATAATTAATAAAAGTAAAATAAAATTGAACCAAACAAATTAAGAAAGTCTCATATTCTCTTAATGCTGGGATGCATTCCATGTATTCAGAAAACACTAAAATAGGATAGGGTATTTTAGGAATAATGGTGGGTGGAAAAATAAAATTGTATTTTTTTAAATTTATGTTGTGGGTGGAAAGATAAAGTGGATAGGAAAATAGGATAGGTGGATGGAAATAGTAACATTCTAAAATAAAAAAAATAAAAAAAAGGCAATGCGTAGTGCTTGGCGCCCATATGTGAAAACCAGTACCGCCGCGTGGCTACACCGTTTTAAAAAATAAAATAAAATATCCCGGGTATAGCCGACCGGCTATACTATTTTGAAAAATACCCAAGAGTATCGCCGGCCGGCTATACTAATTCTAGGAAAAAAAAAAGGGGACCCGCCTAGCGCTAGGTACCTATGTTTCAAAATAAGTACAGACGCGCGGCTATAAATTAAAAAGTGCCCACGTGTGAAAACCGATATAGCCGCGCGGCTATACTAATTTTTTCTAAAAAACACTGTTACGCCGCACGGCTATACTATTTTTAAAAAAAATAAAGAATACTCGAGTATAGCCGCGTGGCGATACTATTTATAAATAATAGAAAAGGCCCCCACCTAGCTCCTAGGTGCCCACGTGTGAAAACAAATATATCCACCAAATCTTGTTTTGCCATCTATTTTGCAAGTTTTTAACTTGCAGATGCCTAGATAAGTGCTTCAGGATTCGTTTTCTAGTGTTCTCTTTGGTTTGTCCTTCTGTCCCTTTTTGTTTGTTTTCTTTAACCTTTTACCTCTTCTTGTTTAGATATCTAGTTGGTTTTCGCTAGGTTTTTCTTTTCATCGTTCTTTTTAGTTTCTTCAAGCACTTTTTCTTTTTCTAATTTAGTTGCAGTTTTTTTCTTTCTGTTTTTTCTGATTTTCTTTTTCTCTTGTAGGTTGCTGATTTCGGTTATTTGCAATGCAATTTAGGTGAGCCGATTGAAGAAGGTTGTTTTTTTTGGTGCGAATAACCGATTGTTTTTTGGGTTCACATGCTTGTCACGTGCTGCTCGTTGACGGCATATTGGATGGAATTCTTTTGTATTTAACAGAAGGGGATAAATTGGCTATTTTTAAAATTTTCATATCCTTAATTTTCTGAAAAAATAGTTTGGGGGCTTAATTCTCAGACACATATAGTTCAGTCGGGAAAATGGAAATTTACTCTTTTTTTTAATGTCTGGATTTTTTATTGTTAGTATTGGGATTTATACTATTTGTTTGGAACTTGGATGTGAGTTCTTATATGAGGTGTGAAACAAATAATTACATGAATACAACTGATATACAATTTTAATTTCCATTGTAAATCTTCGACCAAAAATAAAAATTCATTGTAAATCAAACTAAATTACACGGACTAAAATTGCAAAAATTAAAATGATATCGACTAAGTGCCCGTTTGGCATTGCTTATTTAGGGTGATAAGTGATTTTTAAAAAATTTTGGGAAGCCTAAAAGGAAAAAGGGGCCGAACCATAACAATAAAAAGTGTACTTTAGCTAATCAATAATGCCGACAACTGCTATAGAATCCTAGATTCTCCTTTGGTGCATATCAAGATTCTCAACTACTGACACTAGTCTAAGGAACTTTGTTTAAAGCAAATGACCTGCTAGTGTAGTGGTTTGGAGCAAATGCTTTCTCAGGAAAGGTTTTTGGTTTAAGTGCTAACATCCGTGTACTGTGTGTAAGTTTAGTATGTTATCGCCCTCTCAATAAGAACGGTATAGATTCCTTTTGGAATCTTACCACATGTTTTAGCAAATTAACAAATTATTACATGCCTGCAACCCACGCAACAAGAACTAAAGAGATTTAAATACTGAAATCAAGTGGATGAATGCAAAGAAAAAAATAATGTATAGTGGCACATGCAATCGGCTCAACCAATATACAATTCCACTTTTTGTTCATGGGACAATATAAATATACATTTGTAAGATAAGCACAAAATACATAAAAACGGATCTAATAAACAATTGGATAACAGACTAGCATTATTGTTCATTAGATCAAGTCTTCTGTGTTACCAAGTCAATGTCAATGGATTCCGCAACTCTGTCCTTCTCTTTTTGTGCTCTTTATATATAGAGGGTCTTTGTTACGGAACTCAGGCTTGAAGCAAAAGATGGCTTCAGAGATCAAGGTTAAAGTCATCCACAAGGAAATAATTAAACCATCCTCTCCAACTCCTCACCACCTTAAAAACACCAGCCTCTCTGTTTTTGATCAGATCACATCTGAAGTTTATGTCCCAGTACTTCTCTTCTATCCCATCAGTAGTGATGAGGTCAATAATATTGATCACCATTCTTTGTTTCCTGAAAAATCCCACCTTCTAAAAATATCATTATCTGAAATCCTAACTCACTTCTATCCCTTGGCCGGAGAATTCGTGTATAATTCTTCAATCAGCTGCAATGACCAGGGAGCTGCATTTGTTGAAGCCAGAGTCAACTGTCCCATATCACAGATTTTGAGCCAACCAGATCTTGGGATACAGAAACAATTGGTTCCAAATGATATAGAATGCAGGACAAAATCAGGCAAAGGCTATCTTCTACTAGTTCAAGCCAACTTCTTTGAATGTGGTGGAGTGGCAATTGGAGTCAGCATTTCACACAAGATCGCTGATGCTTATACAGTAAGCAAATTCATTAATAGTTGGGCTGCAATTGCCCTTGACTCCACTACTACTACTGATGTACTGCCTCCTGCACAATTTGGTGCTGCAGCATCTCTTTTACCACCTCTGGATTTCCTCAATTCACCTCAATCTCCTGTGGAATTTGTCCAAGAAAATTGTGAAACAAGGACTTTAGTGTTTGATGCCTCAAATATTGCTGCTCTCAAGTCCAAAGCTGTCAGTGCCACCGTGCCAAACCCAACGCGCGTTGAAGTTGTGTCAGGGCTCATTTGGAAATGCATGATGGAAGCATCACGATCAAACTTGGGTTTTGTAAGGCCATCCTCGTGGTGTCAATTTGTGAACATGCGGAAAGTTTTGGTTAAGCACTCAGCAGACGACTTATTGGGAAATTTCTTCGGGCACTTTGTAGCAAAGACAGAGGAAAGTGAAGTAGATCATGATGTTCAAAGCTTGGTTGCTAAAATGAGGAAGAGCTTTGAGGAATTGAAGGTAAATTTTGCTAATGGAATTAGTGGGGAGGATGTGTTGCAGCTCTGCAAAGAGTTAGGGGAGCTCATTGGAAAGGTGGATGTAGACAACTATTGTTCCACCAGTTTGTGCAGGTTTCCCTTCTACAAAGCCAATTTCGGATGGGGAAAGCCATCATGGATGAGTATGCCAGCTGGTGCTGTAGAAATCAAGAACATAATCTCATTGATGGATGTAGGAGATGGGAATGGTATACAAGCACGCTTGAGTTTGAAAGCGGAAGACATGGCCATAGTTGAAAGTAACCGGGAGCTGCTTACATATGCTTCTTTGAACTATGAGGTTCGTCACAAACTCATACCTAAGCTTTGAAGACCCAACAATCTGGTACTCAAACTTATGGAAACCCTAAAAATAAGACCCTCCATTAACTAGACCATTAGTTGGTCTGTTAAATTCTCATGTGGCAAATGTGCGTCCCATTTTTAATCCACAATTTATGAATTTTCTTTTTCATTTTTCATTTTTCTTAGTCCGATTCTATGATCTATCTATGATTTCCCCTACGTGTGTTTTTTATGTTTATTAATCAAATTTGAATTTGCTTGCCGTTGAGTTTAGCAAGTAAGTTTCGCCCAACTGCCTTTCAAATCATGGATCCCCCACTAGTCGTCCTATAATTTTTCTTTCTTCTTTTTTTCTTTTTACTCTGGAGGAGGGAAGATTCGAACTTGGAACCTCTTCCAACAAAAAGAAATTCCACTAGACCAAGAGCTAGTCGGCAGTGTCATTGTGTAAACAATTAGTACCACTCTTGTGCTTCTAGAATTGAAATGGATGCAATGTTGTTACCTTTGATGATCTCACTCTTTACGTTTAATTATTGGTCTCAAAATTAGTTGTAGAATATTATTTTTGGACAATATGGGGTCAAGTTAACCGTCCACTTGATGATGACTTTGGCACTTTGCATAGAACTTATAGTCTGTGGAAGAATAAAGGAATAATTTTTCTCTTTCTTATTAATAATGTCATCAGTGCTCTTAATATAAGTACAAGAGCCTTTCACTATCTAACAATAAACAATGAACAATGATCATAACCAACAAACAGTCTTAGCCTAAGTCCTGTGATAGCCGTTGATTAATTAGGAGGATTATGATTGTGATGATCAGAAGATAACCTGCTTACAAAATTACTGTTTTTATACGAATATAATCAATTCACAAATGTTTACATGATCTGGAGGGCATCAGCTGGAGCAAAGTAAGAAGCCCATCAAAATAGATTAAATTGTTATGGTGTATGTACCATTTGGATAATATAATAAGCTGAATAAAACAAAGAAGTTGAATTTCGTCCCAGAGGAGCTGTAGTTGTGATGTCTTTATATGGACGGTCTGTGTTGTGAAATTTTCAAGTGTGGAGAAAAATATGACTTCAGAGATCAAGGTTGAAGTCACTCAGGAGGAAATAATTAGACCATCCTCTCCAACTCCTCACCACCTCAGAAGTTCTAACCTTTCTGTTTTTGATCAGCTTACTCCTCAAGTTTATGTCTCCGTACTTCTCTTCTACCCCAGCAATAACGGGGATAGCCATTCTTTGGCTGCTGAAAGGTCCAAGATTCTGAAAAGGTCATTATCCGAAGTCCTCACTCACTTCTATCCCTTTGCAGGAACAATCCAATCTAAGGATGTTTCAATCTGTTGCAATGACCATGGGGCTAAATTTTTTGAAGCCAGAGTCAACTGTCCCCTGTCACAGGTTTTTGATAAACCAGATCTTGGAATGCTAAAACAGTTGCATCCAAATGCAATAGAATCCGGGGCACAATCAGGCACAGGCCATCTTCTTCTGGTCCAAGCCAACTTTTTTGAATGTGGTGGGATGGCAATTGTAGTCAACATTTCACATAAGCTCATTGATGCTTATACACTCTGCAAATTCATTAATAGCTGGTCTGCAATTTCCCTCTCCTCGGTCAGTACCGATCATGTAGTGCCTCCTGTAGAATTTGGTGCTGCAGCATCTCTTTTCCCACCTCTTGATTTCCTCAGTTCAACCCGAGCTTCTGTTGGCTTTGTCAAGTACAATTGCATAACAAAGAGATTTGTGTTTGATGCCTCCAAGATTGCTACTCTCAAGCTTAAAGCTGCCAGTGCCACGGTGCCAAATCCAACGCGTGTTGAAGTAGTGTCAGCGCTCATCTGGAAATGTGCCATGGAAGCATCAAGTTCAAACTCGGGTGTCATAAGGCCATCCATATGGTGTCAATTTGTGAACATGAGGAAGATATTGCCGCAGTCCCCAGCAGAAAACTTATTGGGAAATCTTGTGGGGTACTCTGTAGCAAAGACACAGGAAAGCGAAGTAGAACATGATCTTGGAAGCTTGGTTTTTAAATTGAGGAGGGGCTTTGAAGAACTTAAGGAAAAATATGGTAACGGAATTAGTAGTGAGGATGTGTTCCAACAGTTCAATGAGTTAGGGAAGCTCATTGGAAAGGTTGATATAGACAACTATTGTTTAACCAGTTGGTGCAGGTTTCCCTTTTATGAAGCTGATTTCGGATGGGGAAAGCCATCATGGTTGAGTAATATCCCTAGCACGGCCGAACTCAAGAACATGATTTCATTGGTGGATGTAAGTGATGGCATTGGCATAGAAGCTCGCTTGACTTTGAAAGAAGAAGACATGGCCGTGATTGAAAGCAACGAGGAGCTGCTTGCATATGCTTCTCTGAATCCGTGTGTCGTGTAATTAATTAGTACAGAAAGATCTACCTCTTCTGGTTTAATGTAGAATTAATATGAATGCTATGTTGGAGTTTTTTCATGATCTCTCTAGCTGGTTACTTTCAGTGTCCAGTCAGTTTCAACGTGACATTTATATCCCACTAATTCTCTTCTATCACAGCACAGGGTCATGAGGGGCAATATTGATCAGCATTCTTTGTTTGCTGAAAAATTCAAGCTTCTAAAGAAATCATTATGTGAAGCCCTCACTCATTTGTAACCCTATGCAGGAAAATTCAAATATAATGTTTCAACGACCTGCAATGACCATGGAGCTTCATCTTGAAGCAAAAGTCAACTGTCCGATATCGAATTAACATGAATTAATTATACCACACTTGAGGAATAAAAGCAAATAGATTCCTTTCGGCATATAACAAAATGTTTTAGCAAATCAACAACGAATATATAGTGGTTCAATTTACATTTTTTTTATGGGATGATATAAATATCCATTCATTTATAAGATAAGCACAAAATACTTACAAAAAAATCATAGCTAATAAACCATTTGGAGAAAAATTAGGTGAGCCTAGAATTATTGTTGATTAAATATGTGTCTTTATATGGAGGATCTCTTTGTTATTGAAGTCAAGTTAGAAGCAAAAGATGGCTACAGAGATGAAGGTTGAAGTCATTTGCAAGGAAACAATTAAACCATCCTCTCCAACTCCTCACCACCTTCGAATTTCCGACCTCTCTGTTTTTGATCAGGTCACATCTGAAGTTTATGTCCAACTACTTCTCTTCTATCCCAGCAGTAGTGATGATGTCAATAATATTGATCACCACCATTCTTTGTTTGCTGAGAGATCCATCCTTCTCAAAACATCATTATCTGAAACCCTCACTTACTTTTACCCCTTAGCCGGAGAATTCAAATACAATTCTTCAATCAGCTGCAATGACCATGGGGCTGCATTTGTTGAAGCCAGAGTCAACTGTCCCATATCACAGATTTTGGGAGAACCAGATCTTGGGATGCAGAAACAATTGGTTCCAAATCATATAGAATGCAGGACACAATCAGGCAAAGGCTATCTTCTACTAGTCCAAGCCAACTTCTTTGAATGTGGTGGGGTGGCAATTGGACTCAACATTTCACATAAGATCATTGATGCTTATACGCTCTGCAAATTCATTAATAGCTGGGCTGCAATTTCCCTTGGCTCAGCCAATACTGACCATGTTGTGCCTCCTGTAGAATTTGGTGCTGCAGCATCTCTTTTCCCACCTCTGGATTTCCTCAATTCACCCCAACCTTCCATTGACTTTGTCAAGGAAAATTGCATAACAAGGAGATATGTGTTTGATGCCTCCAAGATTGCTGCTCTTAAGTCAAAAGTTGCCAGTGCTGCGGTGCCAAACCCAACTCGTGTAGAAGTAGTGTCAGCGCTCATTTGGAAATGCGTAATGGAAGCATCAAGATCAAACTTGGGTTCGGCGAGGCCATCCGCATGGTGTCAAGTTGTAAACATGCGGAAAATAATGGTTCCGCCCTTGAGAGTTGACTTATTGGGAAATTTCTTCGGGTACTTTGTAGCAAAGACAGAAGAAAGTGAAGTAGATCATGATGTTCAAAGCTTGGTTGCTGAAATGAGGAAGGGCTTTGAGGAATTTAAGGTAAATTTTGCTAATGGAATTAGTGGGGAGGATGTGTTGCAGCTGTGCAAAGAGTTAGGGGAGCTCATTGGAAAGGTGGATACAGACAACAACTATTGTTCCACCAGTTGGTGCAGGTTTCCCTTCTACAAAGCCAATTTCGGATGGGGAAAGCCATCCTGGATGAGTATCCCAGCTGGTGCTGTAGAAATCAAGAACATAATTTCATTGATGGATGAAAGATATGGGAATGGTATAGAAGCAAGATTGAGTTTGAAAGAGGAAAACATGGCCTTAGTTGAAAGTAACCAGGAGCTGCTTGCATACGCTTCTCTGAATCCAAGTGTCGTCATGTAATTTTTCCTTCTTTTTTTCTTTGTACTCGAGCAAAAAAAGAGAGATTCAAAGTTGGAAACTCTTCCAATAAAAGAGAAATCTCACTAGACGAAGAGCTAGTTGGCCATGTGTACGTAACTAATTAGTACCAAAATTAATAATTTCATTGTTGTTACCTTTGATGATCTCTGTAAGACCCGTGTCTTGGGGAAACAAGAACGGTGAGCAATCCCACATCGCTCGGGGAGGGAAAGGTGAAGTGCTTAAATGTGTGGGCACTTCTCTTCCTAGCACGAGGCCTTTTGGGAGCTCACTGGCTTCGGAGTCATAGGAACTCCGAAGTTAAGCGAGTTGGGGCCAGAGCAATCCCAGGATGGGTGACCCACTGGGAAGTTGCTCATGAGCTCCCAGAAACAAAACCGTGAGGGCAGAGAGGGGGGCCCAAAGCGGACAATATCGTGCTAGGGGAGTTGGGTCGTGACAATCTCACTCATTGCTTTGATTACTGGTCTTAAAATTGTTGGCAAGTCCTTACTTAGTTAGGATTTTAGCTCCTTACTATGTTAAGATTTTGGTTACTTACCCATTTATTTAGTCCTATTATAATTGAGATTTATTTTCTATTGTAATTTGGATTTAGTTCCTATTTTATTTAGAGTTGTACTTCCTTATAAATATCTCCATATTTGAGAACAATAAAAATATGAGCATAATTGAATATTTGCCCTACTTTGTCTGATTGGTATCAAAGTCTTGGTTTTCTTGTGACATGTGCTTGTGTTCTCCTTAATATTTAAGTGTTCTCCTCCCCCGGGGGGGGAGGAGTGAAAACGAGTTGTTTCTCTCTGCCATGAAGATTGTGTCTATTCCTTGACTCTAACAAACCCTTCTCTTCAGGGGGAGAGGGGGAGTGAAGAGAAGTTGTGTTTGCGTGAATTAGCTAAAGTTGATATAGAAGAATTTTTCATTGCCGTTTCCACTATTGTTGTCGTTGCCGCTTGCTGCTGCCGTTGATGATGTTGCCTTTGTTTGCTTCGCTTTCCGTTGTTGTGGTCATTGTCGTTGCTATTGCTGTGGCCGTGCCCTTTGCCTTTATTTGCATTAGCTTACCTTGCTTTGCCTTGCCTTGCCTTTGCTTTACCCTATTTTTAGGGTTTGGTTTTACCTTGCCTTTGCCATGTTCACAGGGTTTCTGTGTCATTTGATGTGTTCACAGGGTTTCTGTGTTCTTTGCTTTGTCTTTGCCATGTTCACAAGGTTTCTATGTTCTTTGTTGTGTTCACAGGATTCTTGTGTCCTTTGCTTTGCCTTTGCCATGTTCACAAAGTTTCTATGTTCTTTGCCTTGCCTTTGCCGTGTTCACAGGGTTTCTGTGTTATGCTATGTGCCTTATTTTTTAGGGTTTGCTCTTGTGTTTCCGCTGCAATCATTGCTTTGGTTTGTCAATTGTTTCACTCATTGTTTACGAAAAGACCTTCTTTACAATTGTTCGATTGGTCAATGTCAAGTATAGTGTTCTATGACTCACTTGTCAAGTTGGGCATGCGAAACATCTTTGCCCCACTTGATGAAGACTTGTATAAAATCCAACATGACCATCGTAGACTTTGGAACTTTGCTTAGAATTTAAAAGGGAGTGGAAGAATAAAGGACTAATTTTCTCATTATTATTAATAATTTAATCAGTGCTCTTAATATTAATACAAGAGCCCTTCACTATCTAAGAGCTGCCAGCTAAAGCTAAACTGTTGTGAGAAATCTGGCAATAATAACTATGATCATGACCAACTAACAGTCTTAGCCTAAGTCTTGTGATAGCCGTTGATTAGGAAGATTATAATTGTGATGATCAGAACATAACCTGCTTACAGAATTTTTGTTTATACAAATATGAACAATTCACAAATGTTTACATGATCTGCAACCAAACAAATGATCTAGAGGGCCTCAGCAGGAGCAAAGTTCGATGGCTACTAAAACAGAGGAAGACATTGTTGAGAGGGGGCAAAAAAATTTACCATCCCCCCAACTTGATGAGTTGAGAAGTTAAAAGCTCTCTTTCTTCAATCGGACGGCCATTATATTTCTTTAATCCCCTTCTAGTAATTAAATTGTTATGATGTGTATACTATTTGGATAATATAATAAGCTGAATAAAACAAAGAAGAAGAATTTCGTCCCGGATGAGCTGCAGCTGTGATGTCTTTATATGGACGGTCTGTGTTATGGAACTTTGAAAGTGCGGAGAAAAATATGACTTCAGAAATCAAGGTTGAAGTCATTCGGGAGGAAACAGTTAGACCATTTTCTCCAACTCCTCACCACCTCAGGAGTTCTAACCTTTCTGTTTTTGATCAGCTTACTCCTCAAGTTTATGTCCCACTACTTCTCTTTTATCCCAGCAATAATAGTAATCACCATTCTGCGGCTTCGGCTTCTGAAAGATCCAAGCTTCTAAAAAGGACATTATCCGAAACCCTCAGTCACTTCTATCCCTTTGCAGGAACAATCCAATCTAATGATGTTTCAATCTGTTGCAATGACCATGGGGCTACATTTGTTGAAGCCAGAGTCAACTGTCCCATGTCAAAGATATCGGAGAAGCCAGATCTTGGGATACAAAAACAGTTGCATCCAAATGAATTAGAATTCATGGCACAATCAGGCACAGGCCATCTTCTACTAGTCCAAGCCAACTTCTTTGAATGTGGTGGGGTGGCAATTGGACTCAACATTTCACATAAGATCATTGATGCTTATACGCTCTGCAAATTCATTAATAGCTGGGCTGCAATTTCCCTTGGCTCAGCCAATACTGACCATGTTGTGCCTCCTGTAGAATTTGGTGCTGCAGCATCTCTTTTCCCACCTCTGGATTTCCTCAATTCACCCCAACCTTCCATTGACTTTGTCAAGGAAAATTGCATAACAAGGAGATATGTGTTTGATGCCTCCAAGATTGCTGCTCTTAAGTCAAAAGCTGCCAGTGCTGCGGTGCCAAACCCAACTCGTGTTGAAGTAGTGTCAGCGCTCATTTGGAAATGCGTAATGGAAGCATCAAGATCAAACTCAAATTTTGCAAGGCCATCTGTGTGGTGTCAATTTGTGAACATGAGGAAGATGTTGCCGCAGGCCCCAGGGGAAAACTTATTGGGAAATCTTGTGGGGTACTCTGTAGCAAAGACAGAGGAGAGGGAAGTAGAACATGATGTTAAAAGCTTGGTTTCTAAATTGAGGAAGGGCTTGGAAGAATTTAAGGAAAAATATGGTAATGGAATTAGTAGGGAGGATGTGTTCCAACAGTGCATTGAGTTATCAAAGCTCGTTGGAAAGGTTGATATAGACACCTATTGTTCCACTAGTTGGTGTAGGTTTCCCTTCTATGAAGCCGATTTTGGATGGGGAAAGCCATCATGGATGAGCATCCCTAGTACTGTAGAAATCAAGAACATGATTTCATTGGTGGATGTAAGTGATGGGATTGGCATAGAAGTGCGCTTGACTTTGAAGGACGAAGATATGGCCATAATCGAAAGCAACCAGGAGATGCTTGCATATGCTTCTCTGAATCCAAGTGTCGTGTAATTAATTAGTATACAAAAATTAATCTGCGTCTTCTGCATCTCAAGTACCATTTCTAAAGTGACGAACTTGTTTGATAAAGGAAATATCATCATGATTCTCGAAGCTTGCACATGCTTCTCTGTATCTGAGTCAGAGTGCCATCTGTTATTAATTAGTACCAAAAAGTCCTCCTCTTGCTTTTAGAATTCACACCTATGCTATGTTGGAAAATTGATGATCTCTCTTGTTACTTTGAATTGTTGGTCTGATGTCGTTCTCCATGTGGAACGATGGACAATGTGTTGCTTTCAACTAAACAGATATAATTTTCAATTACTAGCTCATTATGCATACCTTAGGACTAGTTAGCACAGTATTATTTTTGGACGATATGGGGTCAAGCTAACAATAGTAGACTTTGGTACTTTGCATAGAGTTGCTGCTAAACAAATATGTATACCGGAGGGTCTATATATGATTAGCCCACAAGTGTTTACATGAACCAGGAAGGCATCAGCTGGAGCAAAGTAAGATGGCCACAGAAACCAAGGTACAAATTATCGAGAGGCAAACAATTAAACCATCCTCCGCAACTCCTCCTCACTTGAGAAGTTTTAAGCTCTCTTTTTTCGATCAGACAGCTATTGTAATTTACATCCCAATCCTACTCTACTATCCCAATACTAGTTCTACTAGTAAGGTCAGAACTGGTCACCATGACCATGTCGTGGCCATCAATGAAAGATGTCAGCATCTAATTGAATCATTAAGCAAAACTCTCACTCACTTCTGCCCTTTAGCAGGAAGGATTATTGAAGGTAAAGCCATGGTTGAATGCAATGATGCAGGAGCTGAATTTGTCAAAGCACGAATCAATTGTTCCTTATCGGAGATTTTGGAACACCCAGATGCTCAGATGTTGAAACAATTCCTTCCAATTGAATATGAATCCAAAGAAGCAAGCACAGGCCGGTTGCTTCTTGTACAAGTCAACTGTTTTGAGTGTGGTGGAATGACAATTGGGTTGAGCATTTCACATAGGATTGCTGATGCATCCACACTATCCACTTTCATCAAGTGTTGGACCACAATAGCCTTTGGGTCCAGAGACAGTGATCAGGTACTACTAGTGCTTCCAAAATTTGGTGCTGCATCTATGTTTCCACCAATAGATTTCTCTAACTCCACACAACCACCAGCCAGGGAAGTTATCATAGCAGAAAACTGCATAACAAAGAGGTTTGTGTTTGATGCGTCAAAGATCGCTGCTCTCCAATCTGAATCAACCAGTTCAGTCATGCCCAAACCTACACGTGTAGAAGCGGTTTCAGCACTGATTTGGAAATGTGCAATGGAAGCGTCATCAAGATCAAAGTTGGGGACTCAAAGACAATGTGTGTTCTGTCAAGATGTGAACTTGCGCAAAAGGGTTGTGCCACCCTTGCCAGAAAACTTGGTTGGGAATGTTGTGGGCTCTTTTACATCAAAGGCTGAAGAGGGTACCATAGATCTAAAAGACTTGGTTGCTAAATTGAGGGAAGGAATCGATGAACTGAAAGAAAAGTATGCTAAAACACTTGTCTTTGATTCTAATGAGGCATGGCAAGGGATCAAAGATAAGCACAGTAAGCTGAAAAATGATGATGAAATGGAGATTTATAGCTGCACAAGTTGGTGTAGGTTTCCTTTCTATGAAGCCGATTTCGGATGGGGAAAGCCATTATGGGTGAGTGTAATTAGCATTGCAATTAAGAATATAATTGTTTTGATGGATAAAGGAGATTGCAATGGAATTGAAGCTTGGTTGACTATGAGCCAAGAAAGCATGGCCTTATTTGAAAGTAATGTGGAACTGCTCGGATATGCTTCTGTAAATCCAAGTGTGATCACCACTTAATTGTGTCCTTAAATAAATTGAAAAAAAAAAAAGGGAAGGAACAAAATTGATAGCTCATCTACTGTCTTCAAGCATATGATCTTGTCTATGTACTGTGAAAGTAATTGGCCAAATACATCCAGTCCCCATTTGAATCATGTTCTATATACTCAATTATTGGTACGATGCTTTCCCACCCTGTTCATTAGTTGAATGAGATAGTTTATGAACAAGTTTCCAATTTTTCATTTATAAATAAATTGACACCATTTCTTTCCTTATCATGTACCCAACCATTCCATTTGTCTTCATATTAAAGGTCAAGTTTTGTTGATATATATATATATTATTTATTTATTTATACAAGTGATCTTGAGAAAGGGGGAATCGAACCTAGGACCTCGGATGCACAGATAAATGCTTTTAACCACTTGAGCTGCAAACCCATTGCATATGTTTTAATATTTATATTTATATAGAACTTATACTATGGTTAACTCATGATAATATGATTTATATATAGCTAAAGACAATAGCTTAACGATACTCTCAAGAAATTACTTGATATTATAATGGTAAATATTCAAATAACCCATAAACTACTCCTACCCATTTGGTTGCCGTAATCTCGGATAATGATTTTAACACGTCATTCTAACCTTCTTCTAATGTTGGAAGATATTTCAAATTCGAATCTCCCATTCCTATTGATCCAAAAAGATAAAAAAAAATCGCACAGTCCCATTTGAAAATCATTGATACTAGGCTAGTATGTAAATTTTATAATTTACAAGGTTTTTTCTTTCTTTTTTAAACAAACTAATGTCCTCTAGTTAGTTTATACATTTTTAATTTTCGACGCCATTGTTTACTTCATCATGTCCCAAGTTCCCACCTACTCCATTTGTCTTCGTATTAAAAGTCAAGGTAGTTGCTTAAGGATACAATGCTTATTAAATTTTTCTGAATAGAATGCTTAAGGGATAATCTTTTTTATTCATAGCTAATAGCAATTATAGGACCTTGTACATGCATATATCACTATTGGAAGCACGACTTCGCCTATGCTTCACATATTTTATTTGTATGATGAATATTATTCATAACTCCAAAAGATACAAACAAATTATAATGCTTCAAATTCAATAGCTCTTAGATGCTGCCGGCCTTAGCCTATTCGTTGAATTTTTCTTTTTTGATTTTAATAATTGTCGTTCATGAGAAATGAACTTTTTTTAAAATTGTTATAGAATTTAGAAAGATGTAATCTCAAACTAAATTTCTTTCTATTTTATATTGATCTCAATTCCGTGGCAGGCTTTCCCTACAGACACTTTTTGTTCACTTTGGACAAGCATTTTGATTCTTTTCAGCCTGAACTACCTCTGGCCGGCATCTTTTGTTAACTTTTGAAGCTTTTCAACCTTGTTGCCTAATTTGAGTTGACTTTTACAGCTCTTTTTTCTTGTTTTTT